GGCAGAAATTTCCGAACGATTTAAGAAACATCTTGCCAAAGAGCGAAACAAGGAGCAGTCTTCCGCCTCGGAGAGTGAAGCTCCCAAAGGACCTGTTAAGGCCAAGCCTATGCCAAGGAAACCGAAGGATGCCGCCGCTGCGGCTAGCTCAGACCCAGCATCAGGCCAGGTTGATCCTGACGATGAAGTTGATCTTCAAGCAGCATCTCCCTGGGGCGGCCGCCGACAGGTTGTCAAGACAAGAAGACGCCGTGAAATGAACGCTCAGGCAAAGGATTTGTTCCGCGATGCGGACGCCGCCCAAAAGTTTTTCACTAAGTTTAAAAAGGATACAGAAGAAATTCAATGGTTTCCTCGCCCTGCGGGTCCTCAATGCTGTAAAAATTTTGAAGAATGTGGATGTTCAGAGGCAATGTTCTGGTGCCACCCTTGTGGCTTTGCCTACTGCTTGGAATGCCGCACCTGCGGCTTGTCTTGCAAACATAATATTGTTAATTTTTCCTCAGAGTTGTCCTCCGACTTTATTCCAGACAGCATCGGCTCATCCAACTCACCTTTCGACATCGAAGAACTGGTTGATGCCGTACTGGCTGAGTCGTCGTATTTCGGCGCAACACGTCGAGAGCATGCTCAAAATCGCCAAGACAAATTCTCGGAACTGATCACGCATCTGCGTGAGGGCCGCTCAATTGGAAACACTTACCTTCAATCTTTTGCTCGTCATGGAATTGAAGATTTTGATTATACCGAATACATTTATGAAATGCCATTTGGATGTCGAATTCCGACTCTCCAGGAGCACTTTGTTGATGCCCAGGACCAGACGCCTCTTCCGATCTGGCGACCTGAGGCTTTCTTCAAGTACCCTGATGGCGGTGACCTTAAGTCAGAAGAGATTCTCCGTTTATTGGAACTCTTCAGATCGTGCCTTCTTGGTAAAAGAGCAATCCTTGGTGTTACCAAGCGCACTAAGGAGAACATCCATGAGTTTCAGAAGGACACGTATCAGCTTGGTATTTTGACTTTGAATCTTGGTCACATCAACCGTCTTCCGTTTATCGGAGGTTGCGCCAAATTTCCAAAATGGGTACGAACTGATATCAACCACCGTGCATTGCCACATTTAGTGTTCCGTAATGCGGCCCATATTGTGTGCCTGTGCGAGGCGTCCGATGAGTACGGTGGCATTGCCGTCCATCGAGAACTAGCCGATGAGTACGGTATGATTGGCATGGTAGTGCATCCGCACATCCAGTCACAGTCCGTTGCAATTTTTATCCGTGGCTCACATGATACCGGCTCCTTTATTGAACTTTTGTGTCATCACCAAATTGAAACCTCTACCAAAGATGCACCCTTTTGGATTTTGCATGGTGCTATTTTTCGTGTTTGCCATGGCATGAACACGTCAGGAGAATTTGTTGATCCTTCCACTGGCGCTCGTGTTCCGAAACCGGACATCGAGAAAAATGCCGAATCTACGGTGTACCAGCACGATCGCCCACTTGCATCCTCACTCGATTTTCTTGATCACTCGATCTGTGAGATCGACGGAGATGACGACCTTGCCGTCTCCGGCGTGGAAGCTTGTGAAGTGAATCTTGGAGCCGACACTCATGACGTCCGACGTCTCATGTTAGCTGAATGCCGCATTGCGGTTTTTCATATCTCCTCATACGCATGGAGTAATGCCTATAAAGAAACGTGCCAGAAATGGCTCCAATTTGTCGCAAGCTGTATCGAACATCAGTGCGACTTTTTGTCCGGTGACGGGAATCTTTTCGCACAGCGAAGCTTTAAGGCAGATGATCACTCCGACTACCGGACATGTATTTTAATTGACATTTTGGAGCGTTTCCTTCAGCAGATTAATCTTCACCGCAGCCCGATAAACCGTATTACGTATAACGTAGTTTCATCGACCACTGCAGCCAATTACATCCGCAGTATGCGTGGAGATGACTCTGATTGTGATTCAATGCTTTTAATTTCTCTTTGTTACGGTAAGCAGATCGCTGTCACGGAAGCACGTGCACAAGAAGAATCAGCCTCTGCCGATGGGTTCGCAGGATCTGCCTTCTCCGACGAAGTTATGCTGAACGATGTTGAACAGCTCAAACATTTGATGGCATACGACCTTGGTCTGGCAGAAAAGGACTGTGCATGGCACTCACCTCTCCTTGCTTACGCCCAGTTGAAGGCATTGAAAAATATGCGCATCCGATCCAAGGAATCTGAAGATAAAAGACGTGAAAAGTGGATGCAGCGAACTCAAGGATATCTCGAAAAACGAGAAGAGAGGAGAGATAGTGTTCCGCCGCTGCGGACTGACTCTCACAGAAATGTTGGACGCACTCGAAGTCGATCGATCAGCAGGACCAGAACATATCGACCCAGAGCTGAAACACCAGCACCGCCTCCGGCACCTGTGCGAGGTCCAGCAGCAAAGGCCAGACCAGTTGAACCTGTGAAATATAAAGCTGCACCGAGATCCTTGAAAGAACCACCAGCTCCGACGTCATCAGGATCTTCCTCTAGTGCTAGGCCGCCTGTAAAGGCTCCTCCAGTTCCGGCTCCCGGACGAACACTAGGTGCACAGCAGCCAAGACCGCCTCCTGATCCACCGGGACCGCCGAAGACTCCACCGCCGTGGAGAGAGAGATCTCAGCAGACTGAGCAGAGGCAAACGACCAGAAAAAGGCCGATCAACGTACCTGAACCTCCGGCGCCTCCATCCCGAATATCGGGTACACAATGGCTTAACCAAGGAACAGCTTCCAGCTCTTCCTTATCTCGTAATTACGATTACAGCTATGATCAGCCGTCGCACTACAGAGTAAATCCCAACACCACTCAAGTAGAATACGTCCCAGGGTACCAGATACCCAGACAGCGTTGGGTCCAGAAATATGACGGATCGTGGCTTGACATGATCCCGCAGACACCGGATCAGTCCATTTTCTTTCATCAGACCGGTGAGCTAAGAAGAAGGAACGAATTGAGCTTTTACGGTTACTATTTCACTATGGGCTTGTAGCCCCAGAAAAATTGCAATGTTCCGCATTTGCGGTCGCTTTCGTCCAATAGAAAATACCGCTTTCCAACAGCGGAGAGTAGCTTCTGTACAGTTTTGTTTTTGTCTTCGGACCGTCTCACAGCAGATCACAGGCTGAGCGCTACCTGTGAAACAGACTTGCATGTTCCGACACGAAGAAAATTTGTGTCTGTTTGTGATTTATTTTTGTTTACGTGTCTTCACAATGCACTCATGCATGTTGACATGTATACTTAATTCATATCTCTCATGCGCACTCCGCATGGCTCAAGACTAGCAGCAATTCCGCGTGTACAAAAAGAGTGTAGTCGCTTCCGCTTGCCACAGGTGTTTACTTAGGTTTCCAGGGCTCCCCTAATAGAGGGAAAAGCTACCTCACCCCCCCGTGGGGGCTCCCCAAGCTAGGGAATTTTCACTTTTCCCCCCCGTGGGGGCTTCCCAAGCTAAGGAATTTTCACTTTCCCCCCCCCCGTGGGGGCTCCCCAAGCTAGGGAATTTTCACTTTTCCCCCCCGTGGGGGCTCCCCAAGCTAGGGAATTTTCCCCCCGTGGGGGCTTCCCAAGCTAGGGAATTTTCACTTTTCCCCCCCGTGGGGGCTCCCCAAGCTAGGGAATTTTCACTTTTCCCCCCCGTGGGGGCTCCCCAAGCTAGGGAATTTTCACTTTTCCCCCCCGTGGGGGCTCCCCAAGCTAGGGAATTTTCACTTTTCCCCCCCCGTGGGGGCTCCCCAAGCTAGGGAATTTTCACTTTTCCCCCCCGTGGGGGCTTCCCAAGCTAGGGAATTTTCACTTTCCTTTCCTTGCCTTTTTCCCCCCCCATGGGTGCTTCCAAGCTAGGAAATTTTCACTTTTCCTTTCCTTTGCCCGCCGGACAGTTTTCCCAAGCTATGGAATTTTCACTTTTCCCTCCCTTGGAGGCTCTCCAAGCTGCGGATTTTCAAATAGCTAGACAACGACGCCTAGATAGTCCCCCAAATCCCGTGTTCTTTGAATGTGTTTCCATGTTTTTGCAATGGTTTCCTTCAAAGCACGGTACTTTACACTTTTGTCGCCATAAAACCGGTCGAAAACATCATGTTCGACAATGCTTCCAATTCCCTTATCTCCCAAACCGTTGAAAATACCGCTATTTACAGTGTTTTCTTCAATTTTTCCATGTGCCAATGCCGGTAGCCAACTCCAACATATATATAAGAAATCCTTCCAAAACATTGTTTTTGACAGTGTTTTTCCAATGTTTCCAGTCAAACAGACGGTAATTTACACGTTTTTTGCCATAAAGGCAGTAAATCCTTCCAAAACATTGCTTTTGACAGTGTTTTTGTAATGCTTCCAGTCAAACATACGGTAATTTACACGTTTTTTTGCTATAACGTCAGTCCAAAACACTTGTTTTTGCAGTGTTTTCAATGCTCTGGCATCCAAAAACCCTGCAAAATCTTGCTATGTACAATGTTTTTTTCATTTTTGGCCGTTTTTCCATTGCCGGAAAGCTACCAAAATGACCCAAAATTCCATTTCAATACCCTCTTGCGCTCAGACACCCAAAAATCCTCGAAAAATGTCGAAAACACCACCGTATTCTGGTCTCGGTGCGAAACCGTTTTTGGGGTCTGGTCTCGGTGCGAAACCGTTTTTGGGGGCCCCCCCCCCCAGCTAAAGCTGATATAGCGACTGCTATATTAACAAATGTCATTGAGCATTTAGTGTTGCTGTTGCCCCCCAATAAGCACGCCTTCACCGCCAAAGCGGTGTGGGCGGATTTTGATATTTACAGTCCCCCCTCTGATTTGGAGAAGGGAGGTGGGATCTTCTGAACGAAGCCCAAAGATTATTGCTTCTTGATTCTTTCTTCAGCTGGCTTTAGACGTGACACAGGCTGCCAAGAAAAAGCAAATTCAACATTGCCAGCTTGTGCTATTGAGCTATCATAAAAATGACTTCCTGGTAACTTTCCCAGCCTCAAATTCTGGAAGCCAGCCTTAAAATACTTAGTAAAAGTGGTTCCTGTCAAGCTGCACAGGGCTGACCTGGGCGTGGGCAGATTCTTCAGTCCTGCAGCATCGAATGCCACTGATGCACTGTCATCTCAAGCTTACAAAAGGACTCGCGCAATGCGCTGGCACTGTGAATCTGTAATATTGATCCGCAGTGCAAAGTCTGCAAAGCTTCAACCTGCCAAAACTACCCAACTCCATAGCACCAAAAGTGGCAAGGAATGGCAAAAGTACACCCGGGATCAAAAGGAACAGCCGACCGAGAGCATCCCACAGCCCCGTCCTGTCGACCCTTCTCCCAAGAGTCTACCACGATGGAGGAACCGCAGAGGTCTGCACCGTTCAGCGTGGATTTCGCAGCAGAAGCCTCTTCAGCCGTGGCGTACCTCGCGTGACCAATACAACCCAAGTTGTAACATATTGTAACCCGTATTTCATCATCTTCATCTCAGCAACCTGCAACCCAAGTTGCATCTTTGAAGAAAGCAACATTAATCTTATAATATTCTGCTCATTCATGGCCGGTGTATTCGGTTAAGTCGCAGCAAGGTAAGTCCCAGAGCGTTTGAACATGCTTGAACACAGCTATTTCGGTTTGTGTAGCTTCAGGGGAAAAAAGTCGCACACATGCCAAATGTTTGAACACATTGTACCTTTAAGATCGCCGACCTGTCTGATCCTACTGGTCACACTACAGCAGCTGTACCCTTGCCCTTGCCACGGAAGATCTCGACCCATTTGCTCTTTCCTCCAGCCTGTTAAAAACCGCCAGATGGGCATATCATGGCATACTGCCACTGGAAGGGAACCTAATGAACGATGAACTGTGAAAATAATGAGGATCGACCAGGATAGAAAACTATGAGAGGAAGCCACAAAGGGTCGAAGAAACCACGCGGAGAGGAAGCAATAAGTTTCACAAACTAGACCGAGTTGCCAGAAAGGCACAAGAACTGAAACGGCAACACGCTAAGAACTGAAACCTCCGAATCTATGCGATCCCCGTTTGTGATTTCAGGTGGCCTTACTTGTATGCGACTTGTACATCAAGATACATCAAGAATTGGTGCCCGGCTCATCCACCCTAACGCCCATGCCAGACATTGCCAGACCCAAGGGCGGCCTGGTCAACAAGGGCTTGGAGGTCCTTCCATTTGGCCTGCTCGGGGATGTTGCCAATCCATAGCTTTCTGGATGGGTCCTCAACAGATCTCAACCGCATCAACAGCAAACTGCTGTGACTGGAGGGCTGCGGAAGCCAGCAAATTTGTGGCTTGGATTTCACTCCTCTGTGCTTCTTCACCGCAAGATATTCGATACAGAAGTCATAGCTACGAAAAGATTTGGCTGTTATATAGATCATCCAAACAAAAAAGTTCCATCCAGGAGCTTTGCAGCAAGAAAGTCAGTTGCATCTTGGCATCCGCACAACGCGAAGCTGCGGGCTTCGCTTGCCTTTACCTTTGCCCTTCCCTTTAAATGGAAACCTTAGGTGTTGACATGCTGTGGTCCCTGATACTAAGTCACACGTTTGTTCAGCTGGACATCTGATGATTTCAACATCCGCAAGTGTGCCTCAATTACCTGCTAAAGAAATAGAATGCAGACAAGGGGCATGGGCGGCATTCCACCAAACATCATCATGCCCTGTTGCCAGCCAAATAAATGTAGCATGGGTAAGCATGGGTAAGCATGGGTATCAGTAAGCTGTCTGATCAGAAAATGAAGCTTCATCTTTGAAGGTTCTGTAGCATACTGGTCAGCTCACCTGTTGGAATAAAGATCCTCCCCAGAAATCCAGTATTTCCGGAGCCTTATGAGACTTTCTGTGCTGTGTTTCCAGCCTTGCCACCATCCCATGGCGCAAAGCCCGGATAAAAGCCATAGGAGAAGCCCTTGCCATTCCAACCTGTTTGGCTCCAAGCTCCAAACGGAGGATGTCATCCATCGTAGAGGGGAATACGTAGGTTTAGTCTCAACAAAAGCGTTCAATAAGTTTTATCACTCCTAGCTCATAGAAGCCAAGCCCTTTGATTGATATCCACCATCCTTTCCCAAGCCAAGATATTACACTAGTGTGATTGTTTACAACAGGATTTGATTGAGATTTAAGATCTGTAATGTCTGTAATGTGAGATCCTTTGCTCTCTTGCCGCGGTCCTCCTTTGCCACCCCAGCCGCCGCCATAGCCCTTGCTGTACATTGCCTGACATTTCACTCACGATTGCTAGGCAGCCAGAGACATCTAGCGATCAAGAAGAGAACACCTCTGCTCTGGACTGAACAGGACAGAAAACACTCATCCTTCATCAGTCCTTCATCCTCCACAGTCCAGAGTTGTCCATCAGAATCTAAGTTCTTACATTCTTAGTAAGAACAGCACGCTTAATATGCTTAATTCAGAGTTCTGCCAAGGTACGGCGTTAAAACCCACAAGTGCTTAAGTGGGCCAAGTAGGCCAAGTAGGCGAGTCTGGGCTTCGAAGGAATCCGAGCTCCTTTGAGCCTCAAGCAACGTCGGCCCCACGACACTGCGGAAATTCCAAGGTAACTGAACAAAGGAAGCCATTTTGAAAGGGACAAATTGCTTCAGGTGTGCTAGGCTTTCCAAGCTTGCCAGGAGAAAACTAAACTTTTTTTCATCCAGCTGGTCTGTTGATCATGTTCACAGCATCAAGGCACTGTTGCAACTCTGCATTGACTCGTGAACGAAAACTACGGAGCAAGTGTATGCAGCATCACTTTGGGCTACCCAACGCCATTGAAAAGTTAGATAGTGATGATAGTGGAATTGATTGGAATTGTATGCATTTGTAGAATTGTATGCTACTTTTGTAAATTCATATTCATTACGTTGGGGATCGATGCAGGGCATTCACTCTACTCAGAACAGGGCAGTAAGGCACAGCACAGTAACCTGAATACGGAATTCAGGTTTGGGTCTTGCAACATTGGTCCAATTCGCATTCCAGGTCATTTCATACTTTCTGCATCTTTCTGCTATATATATATAGTTCCATTCTTTTCTCAGCCATTGTTGCAAAGACGAGGTGAGAGACTCTCGAGAGTCTTTCGTCAATCACTTTCGTGTATCCATCTCACTGTACGTAGATGCCTGGAGCACTCGAAACCGGAAACGACTAGAGTCCCAGGCAAAGAATTTTCTAAGTTCACCACTACATGTCACTACATGTTTCTCAGCGATGTCTGCTTTTCATGTCATGGCATTTTGCATGTCGACTGGGAACGGCTCCACCAATTCCCAGCCTCAAGCTTTCTCACCTGCAGAGTTCATCAGCGAAAAAACACTGGTAGCGATGTCCAAAGTCACCATCACTTGGACCACTTGGACCACTTGGACCACTTGGACCACTTGGACCATGCAGCTTCGGGCCTTTCTCCCAGGAATCAACCACGATGGATGAGCCGCAAAGGTCCGCACCATTCAAAGTGGCCTTTGCAGCTTGCGCTTCGTCTGCAGTGTTGTACCTTGGTTTGACAAACGATGCCAGATGGTGCAAGTCTGACAAAGGCCAATCTGGCTCAGAGATGCTCAGAGTTCAAGTTGACTTGACGGCATTTTCTCAAATTCACACATAAGCAGGGACAAGAAGCAGCAACAAAAATCACAAGGATGATTGTGCCAAACAGTTTGCTGATCAGATTTTTGAGCCAAGTTCTTATCTAAGGCCCCAGCACCACAGCACCCGTACCTTTGCCTTTGCCACGGAAGATCTCCACCCATCGGCTTTTTCCCGCCTGGCTACAGCACGTCCACATTGCGTGCTCTGTGCACTGGTTCTTCCACATCTGTTCTGTGCATTGGTTATTTTCAAAAGGAATTTCAATAGGTCCACGACGGTTCGTCACATCTTCCAGCTGAGAAAGCAGGTGCAGAAGTGAAAGTGTGTTTGTGTGAATGTGTGCATGTAAGTATATGTAAGTGGTACCTGATACTTGTGATTGACACCAGCGGAAACACAACCACTTCCCCCCTACTGTGCCTTGTCAACCAACGCCTGCAAATCCTTCCAGTTTGCTTCCTCTGGAATGTTTCCAATCCAAAGCTTCTTGGCTGGATCCTCAGGGATTCCCTTCAGAATTCTTGAGGTAAGTCACAACTGTCCAAGTTCAAATACTTGAGGAGTCACTGCAAAATGTGAAGTGCATAGAGCAATGAGGTTAGTACCTCCTGAATTCAACTTATTCAACCCGCAAATTTCACAATCAGAAACCGTGGCCGGAAAGCTGAATTGTTGTACAAAAACCAAGGTCAAGGCAACGTTCAGCTGTGGGCTGCGCTTCCCTTTGCCCTTGCCCTTTCCCTTAAAAGCGAACCTTGGCGTTGCAAAAAGCGAATGAGAGGCATGTCGAAACAGATTATATACACATTGAAGTCTGACACTGAAGATTTGATCCTCAAAACATGATGTTTGCTGCCAATGCAGAAAGTGTGTTCAGAACCGGCTCTTCTAGGTTTCCTGCATCGGAGGCATCATCATGCCATAGTTGTAGGACATCATGCCCTGCACCACCGATGCAAAAAAAACTCCCTCGAAATAAGGCTGACCAGGAGAGAATAAACTGCGCAGCATTGAGACTTCTTTACATTACGTTTCTTCCCCAGAAATCACACATCTTTGAGCCAACTCACAGAATGCTAAACTAAGTAAACTAAACCAAGCAATGTCAATGTCTAGGGTTCTATCTGATTCTATCTCTCTCTCATAGTGCTTCAATGTACATCGGAGCACATCGGCACTAGTCGCACCTTGCCGCCATCCCAAGGAGGATAATAGAAGCCTCCCTTGCCCCAGCCGCCTGCGAGGATCCCGTCAAATGATGTCTTAGTAAAGTGTAAGTGACTTTGAGATTAACGCATGGACATACATGTTATATATTTATATCATATTCTATCACATTATATTACTGTACTGTACATCATATTTAATCATTATTCTATCATGTTGTAGTCAACGCTTGCGATCTGCACCTGCTTTGGATTGTGGAGATCATTGAATAGAAAGCAAGTAAGAATCTCACCGTAGCCCTTGTAGTCACCGTAGCCCTTTCCGTACGACATGTCCTGACAGCCGCAAAATGTAAATTTGAGCAGCTGCATTTCAACAGCAAAAGAGAGCACAATTTGCAGACAGGGATTGGCAGTGTCCAGTACGGATGTTTGCAATGTCTGAAATGAACCCGTCATTGTCCCATGCATTCATGATCTGAAATAAGTAACTCGAGAAACGCAGGCCATTAGTCATTTTGATTCTCAATGGCTTGATACTCGCTAGCTCAGCCACAGCTTGAATAGAATGCCAGAATGCCCTTTAATTCTGTCCTAAAATATTCATGTGTTACTTCGTAATTAGTCTCTACCTAAATTCAATTCCTTGATTCTTGTGTGCCGCTTCTTGTAGAGCTAGTGGTCGTTGTTGAACATGTGCCTATAGACTGCAGCAATTGAGGCATCTTTGCACTGCCACATTCTGTCCCGCCTCTTCAAATGGTTTGCGAATTGGATGCGATATGCTGGGTTCTCTGTGCGAAAGTTCGGGGGCGACAACAGAAATGTGTGTCCATGCGAGGATGTACTTGCCTCATACTTTGAGCGTGCAATCTCGTAGCGTGCTTCTCGTGGTTCCATGAGCCATGCTTTTTTCCCATTGAGCCATATCCAGGCAGTGTGGAATCGTGGAAACATGACAATTTAAGAGTGATGAGAGCCAGACATGCTTCTGGATTCTGACACGCCCTGCATACTGTTGGAAATGCATCCGGAATGTAATCACTTCGCTCGCACAAGCTTTTTGGTGGGCTCTTCGGCTGCTCATCATCAACCAAATCAATGGTCCGCTTGCCCACCTTCAGCTGGCTCCAACCTGTGGTTTCAGCTTGAGTGCCTTTAAGACATCCTTGGGGCCAAAGTTTGGGCGCCCAAGGTCCTTTTCTCGGCCTTTCAAAACCTTCGGATGTCTTGCTCGTCTTGCTCATCGCTTGAGTCTTCTTTGGACTCTTGTTTGGCTTCTTGGCAGGACTGCGAGTCCGACTCTTTCCTTCCTGAACCAACAGGATGAAAATGGATGAAATATTTGATGTCTTAAGTATGAGAAAGCTCGGATTTTGATTCATTTCCGCATACATTGTTTTCTGACATCATTATTCAAGCCGCGAGCACAAATCTGGATTGCAATCCACTTGTGGAAATATCTCGGTGCTATTCCCTTCGGGAAATCCTCACAATTTATCCACCCAGTCCAAATCGGACCTACTTCCCCCTGTCCCAGTCTGTTCCCAGTCCTCCTTCCGCTCGCTCCGTTCTTTCCGCTCTTTCGCTTCCTCTTTGGTTTTGTTTTTGTGGCATGCGGTACAAAGAGTCTGCAGATTCTCCAGGCCACATAGACCACCTCCGCGCCACACGGGCACAACATGGTCGGCCTGCCATAGGGAACCCTCTGTGACCTTGGAGGGTGATTTGATCTCAGGCGCCAGCTCCTGGGCAGTTTTGTGCAAAAATGCAATGAGCAACTTTGAGCAATGAGCAAGGACTAGTTTCAATTATATATATATATATTATAAATATATGATTGGGTATAGTCTGATTGAGAGCTCTTTGCAGTGTTTGAGAACTTGTCATCGAATCCATAGAAGTTGTCCACGTTTGCAAGAAGTGGTGCACGTTTCACAGAAGTTGTGCACGTTTCACACGCCCCCCTAATAACGTTCGTGTTCAACTGCTGTGGAATGGACGGCTCTCATTGGGGGCTCTTAACCAGACTATCCCGATATGATTTGTTCAAGACAGAAAATAGGAACAGCTGACATGACTGTTGACTCCAAGTTTTGAAGAAAACTCTTCAAGTCATACCAGCTCCTCCAAGCTTTCCTGTCTAGAATGTAGATTCAAGAACCGAACTCACAGCAACTAGCCCCAAATTGAGAAACAAAGTGAGCTGAAAGGAATCCATCCCTTGGGCTGTCCTCCAATTTCTTCTTCCGTCGCTCAGGGCTTGAAGTCAGCAGAGTTTGCCACAAGTCGTGACAGTCAACTCCACATTTTTGACACACCCCACGCTCTAGGTCGAAAAGCTGTCGCCTCAAACTGGTGCCGTTTCTCTTTCCAAAGAACCGTGCCCGACAGTTTCCGGAGCAGAACAGGTCCGTTTCATTCGCAGAGGCTTCGTGACTGATTGTCTCACCATCTGGGCCAGGCAGGGCAGCATCCAGCGAACTGGGTTTGATGCTGTGAGAATCCAGAACTTTTAAGCATTCCATGCACAACAAGGTCGGCTCAGAGTCTTCATCTCTGGACATCGGCTGCAAAAACTTCAAGGTATGCCCTCCAAGTCGTCCCTGTGTGTATTGCACACTAACTTGGCATCGAGGTAGAGTCTTGGCCTTGACAGGGAGACTCCTATGACCCATCTGACTATGAAACTTGTCACCCATCTCACTATGAAACTTGACCTTCAAGAAGACTTAGACTAGCCCTAGGGCCCTAGCTCATATTGCTCATAGGTGCAGATTCCAAGAGCGTCTGCCCCAACCTCGTCTGCAAGGCTTGTCTGGCTGAAACGGATTCGAGACCCAGACAAAGAAGGCGCTGATCGCAATTGAATTTCGTGTGCCTCAGGGATGAGGATTGCATGAAACAGATTTTGCCTATTGCATCAAAAGTGCAGAAGCCGATCGCAATAGCCTCCAGCATGTCCAGATTATTGAAAGATATTGAAAGTAGACCTTTGGGAGCAAGAGAACATCAACAAGTGCCCAAACAGCTATCCCCAGTCAAACGAATCCTGCCTTGTGGGCAACTCCTCTCCCAAGCTTTTGCTGGTAGGGACTCAGCGCTTTCCAAGCCAGTCGAAATGCTGCAGCCTCCCTCTCAAGCTGTGCACTATCCCCTACCCAGTGACTCTCTACATCAGCTCTCAAGGTCAATCCGAGGGGTTTTCCGTTGGAATAAACATGAAGACGCGAAGTGTGAGGTGAAACTTCGAAGCTGAAATCCGCATGTCCTGCCAATGATGGTATTGATGTCTGGTAGTTGGAGACTGTTGCAGATGTAGCAGCTGTAGCCTCAAGCAGGGAAGAGTCTGCGAGTCAAAAAGTGTTTGAGGCTAGGTTCAGACTGGTTCAGACTATCTGTCCTGAATCATGCCCAAATACCTCAAGCAACAATGCAGTATGCGTTGTCTAAGATTAGAAAAAGTGTTCAAGCATCCAAAATCTCTCATTATGAAATTAGAATTCTTTACAATATATATATATATAATATAACTACTATCGTAACCGAGATACATCATGCAATGCTGTCACCTCCCTCAAGCGCTGGCGCAGCTGCATCCAGCGCTGCTCTTCTGCAGTGACAGCCATGGCCGTCTCTGCGGCTGTCCAACGACCTTTGACTCTGCATGGGGATCCAGCTGCTAGCAGCAATAGAACATCCACTGCCTGGAGTTTTTTGGCCAAAAAAATAATAATCGGCAAGGTTGGTCTTGGGAAAGCGATTGGAGTTATGGTATGTTATGGTGTGGAGTGTGTCCAAATATGTTCAAATGAAACACATCATTTGACAGAACTTCAAGAGAGGAGATCTGATTAGAAGAAACTGGCCATTCGTGCTCAGTCACTTCTTCAAACAATTTTGAATTCATTTCAGTTCACTAAATTCGCTACAAAATACTCAGTGAATTCATTTCGTTTAGGCAGTGAACCAGGCTGCAGAGCCTTCTGTTGCCCGTGTCGATGTAAACGGTCTTCAGCTTGGCAAAGCCATGAAGCATCCGGTGGCAACTCAACAAAAATGGCCAGAGATGCAGCAGACAGGTCGACGCCCACTGCCTTGGTCAAACAAGTGAACAAAGTAAGGCATGGTATGGCATGGTTGAGGGTTTCCAAACGGAAACTGATGTAAGAGGCAAAGGAATCATATGTAGTTCGACTTAACTCCATCAATGTTTCCAATTTCAAAAAAAGTACACTGTGCTCACTTGTGGCTGAAACTTGATTAAAGCCTGACCAAGGAACACAAGCAGTGACACCAATGACGGCCAAGGAAGGTCCACCCTTGTTCATAAATTTTGCAATGAGGCTCTGTCGAGTGATAGGTGGTGTTGACCCATCAATGCGAATCATGTCGATGCTGGCAGCCACCTGGGAAACCCGGTCCAAGACTCTGATGTGGTGTGCAAAAACCACGGCTTTTTGGCCTTCTGCAACACAGACCTCCAACTTCTCCAGCAACCATTTCTCAGCGGCCACCAGTTTCAACAAACCACAGCGTTCAAAGTCTGTCAATGCAGAGGCTTCAGCCTCTGAGAGTGAACGCGAGAGCCTCGCAGAGAGCGCCAGGCGGATGATGCGCCGATGCTTCGGAGGCAAATCTTCCAGCACTTCGCTTTTTTTCCGTCGCACCATCATCGCATCCCGCAGCAACAGTGCCAACTGCCAACTACGACGACATCGTCCTGGAACCAAATGGCCTGAAAATGACAAACTCGGTTCGTCATAGTCACGGGCAAAGGCGTGGAAAGAGTCTCCCAACAAACCTGGTCGCAGCAGGTTTGCTTGAGTGAAAATACCCAGATAATTTGACCGTGATGGAGTACCGGAAAGAAGCAGGACACGAGGTACAGGTTTCAGCAACTCAAGCACTGCTTGTGTGGCCTGACCAGCCTTTCCATTGATCATTCGAAGGCAATGGGATTCATCTACAATGGCTATCCTCCACTGGCGCTGACCCAGATTCTGAAACAGCAGCCGTGCCATTGCAAAAGAAACAATGACCACCTGTGTGTCCCCCAAACTGTTTGGGGATGACCCAGGCGGAAGCATGTCATTGGACGAGTGGATGACATGCACATGGCGAGGTTGCAAAAGGGCTGGAAGCCATGTCTCTAGCTCTTCAGCCCAGACTAAGCGCATGCATGCAGGGCAAATGATCAGAACAGGCCACAAGTTGTAAGCTGCCACAACTCCAAGCGCTTGTGCTGATTTGCCACATCCCATCTCATCTGCAATGAGGCAACGACCTCCCAGCTCCAGCACTCGAGAGACACCTTCCCACTGAAAGCTTCTCAAACGTGAGAGATCAGGAGCTCGATGAAGAGCTGCTTGACACAAACGCTTGGCCTCCCGCTGTGCTAATTCAATTCTCGCCAGAACTGCCTCAGGATCCAGCCTGGCCCTTTGGGGTTTTTGCACTGCCTTTTGGTCCTCTTGGTCGTGACCTTGGCCAAGACAAGTCCACTGAACTGGCTCTGGAGCACCTGCTGCAACAGCCACGTTAAGAAGATCTCGCTCCCACACCCCTACGGCCTTGGTGCGAAGAAGATCCATCAACGCATCAAAAGTCAACACTTCAGGCCAACTTCTCCAGTCCTTGTCGATCCCATTGAGCAAGTCCATCGCCCAATCACTTTCAGGTACCCAGTCCTTGTCCTTCAGGTATTGTATGACAGCTGTGGGAAGCGTATCTATTCTGATTGTTGCTTCTGAAACATCTGCAATTTGGTCAGCGACTCTCTGCAAAGCCTCTAGGAACTGATCGAGTTGGCACAGGGGAAATACATAGCCAACTCGCTGCGACACTTGTTCGTTGGAACCACTGGTTTCCTTTGAGTCTGCTGGATTTTGCGGCTCGCCATAGAGAATTGAATTGCTTGGATCAAGCCAATCTTCCCGTGGCTCACTGCAACCAAACCTCGGATCCAAAACAAAAATATTCAAAACTACATATGTGTTGCATTTCAACCAGCATTTGGGTATACTTCAGAAGAAAACAACACAGGGTCCAACTAGCCAAGGCTCTTGGCTTCGCCTGCCCATGCTTGAAGCTTGGCGCAGTCCCGTGCACCTTTGGAATGGAGACGCACATGCTGTAGTGTTTCCAGCTCCAAAACAATTGCAACCGGATCTTCCATATCCTGGGACAATGATAGAATGTGAAAATCAATTGGAACAAGCAGTTTCAAATCATACTTCACGACTTGACAAATTCCCCCCAACCCGATCTGTGAAGGTCCTGCATGCGTGCGACTGCTTTCTCCACTCTTTCAATGTGTCCAGAGGCACAAAAAAGGAAGAGACCGAAGCGGCCGTTGCGGTGTCGCAGAGGCTTGCCACAAGAACAACGCAAAGTCCCATCTGCAACAGCCCAAAGAAGTTTACGAAAGTCCGTGTCACCGATCTTTGGCCCCTTTTGTTTACGTTTTTTGGCACTTGTTTTGAGTCTCACCGGCTTCTTCCCCTGGAGTCGTGATGATCCACTTTGATATGTTTGTCGCAAAGCCAACACCTCCTGTTGACTAAATCCACCATTTTCAGCCAGTTTTGCTGCCAACTCATTTTTTTTGCCAGTTGAATCCAAACCACGCTCCCGGCATGCATCTCGCAACTGGCAAACCCGCAGCTGGACAAAATCTGCCTCGTTTGCACACGGTGCAACCGACATGGCTGACCTTTAGATGTCCCATTGTCGAAACCTACTTGATGGATGTGTAATTGTCAAGTACTGCACCGATGTGTTCACTGTCTCTTGACCATGACTTTATTAAGTTGTAAATATGACTGTGGTTGTTCTTGTGAGACGTAGTTTTTTGGTGCTTGTTGCCCTGACAACGTCTCCGAGTGACATCACAATGAACGGCAAAAGACATAGCTCACGGCGCAAGGATTCCAATCTGCGCTTGCATGAGTCATTTTCTTGAAAAACCATGAAAAACCCAAGTTTGCAAATGAACCGCAGGTTCCAGTTCCCTTCCTATTTTTGGGTTTGGTAAGTTTGGTAGACAAACGAAGCACGACTCCCAGACCCAGAGCGAGTGTGAAGACAATCTAGCGGTGGCTACCGCAACCCACATTCAATCAAATGCTGCTCAAAACAAGCTGGCATCGCTAGCCAAGTGCTGTTTTATTTTTCCCTTTTGCTGCTTTGAAATCGATGCTCGCCTAGGCTGTTACAGCCCCAGTGAGTTGAAACGAATATGCATTTCTTTGTACATTCACTGCACAAAAGGCCCTGATGTCCGAGGGAAGATAAGCTCCCTGTCCACTTGAGTCGATAGTAATGACTTCTGTGTTCTTAGATTGAAATTTCATGAATTTTGCCTCAAATTTGGCCACAGCGAGCTATGATGGACACCAACGGCTTAGCGCAGCTGCCAGTGATAAAAAGCACACAAATCATGCCTGTTCAAGAACTGCTTGCCGACCCAACTGATGTCGTGAGGGTCGTCAGCAAGATCAACCTGGCGCAGCAAGCTGCTGATTGACGCAAAAAACGTCTGTCGCTGGAAAACTGTCAAGTTTTATGGGGGTTTTGGTGTCAATCTTAAGAATAGCTTCAATGATCCATAGGACAAACCGTTCTTCTGTTTGAGACTGGAAGATGCACGAGGTTTGGAGGAAAGTAAACAGGCCACATCTCAGCTCTACTTGGTTTCAATGGGTGCATCCATCTAGATTCTCCATGTTTTTCCATGACTATGAGAGATGCTGGCTGACTTAAACGTACTCATACTTCTACACACACTCCGATCATTCCTGTCCTGGGTGAATAATCCCTAGCAGCAAGGTTTCAGACTTGTACTTGTCAGGGTCTAGGTTTTATTCATCAACGAAATGACCAGCGCCATGCAAAGCAAATGCAAACACGATAGAGTTGCTTCAGTTTATTTAACGAAAAAACACTATGATCCACAGCAAAGCGTCAACTATACAGCTTCACAAGGTTGCAAGGTTCAAAGTTGTTCACAAGGTTGTCGGTTTTCTCCAAGGTTGCAACAAGCCAAGTGCGGGGTTAGACAATTCCATGACTCTAGAGTTTCATAGTTCCAACTCCCAGCGTCCTGGTTCCAAGATTCCATGGACCAAGGGTTCCATACTATCAGAATCCCAAAATTCAAAGTTTCAGGTGAAGTTTGAGGGCTCCCAGTGCACAAAGTTATCAGGGTTCACGGCAAGCACCAAGCTTCCCTTGCAAAAGGTCGAAGGTTCGATTCCAGAGATCCAGGATTCCAATGTTGCAGGGTTCCAAGGTTACAGGGCTCCAGGAATCCACAGCAGGGTTCGATTGTTTCAAAACTCCAAGATTTCAGAGTTCCGGGATTACAGGGTTCCAGAGCTCTCCAGGGTTCCAAGCTTGCAATGTCAGGGGGCATAAATTGCAAACTTGCACCAGGATCCCAAGGATACAGGTTTCAAAGGTTCTAGGATTACTTCAAGGTTTTAGGGTTTCAGGGTTGCCACGGTTCCAGGATTTAATGACATATGAAACTACCCGGCACGTTAAGGAGAGAAAAATGCAAACTAAGTTATGGCTCATGGAAAGGTTGCTGCAAGACTTCCAGCAAAGGGTTTCTGCAAGGTTCATGCCAGGGTTCCAGCAAAGGTTCAGGTAAGATCCCAGCATCACAGTTTCAGCAAGAGATCGTCGCCTTTCAGTGCCTGCCGCAACTAAAAAAAAGAAAGAAACAAAACAAAACCCAAAACAAATCCAGAAGTTGTCTTCATATAGGTTCCAGTAAGGTTGCAAAACAGTTCCAGAAAAGTTCAAGCCAGACTTTGAACATCACAACCCGGCACATTAAGCAAAGCAAGAAAGAATATTCCAGCGAGATCTCAGCAAGGTTCGTTCCAACAAGGTTGCAGCAAGGTTCCAGCAGAGTTCTAGCAAGGCTCCAGCAAGATTTGCGTGGGGAAGGTTGCTGAAAAGCAAGGGTCCAACAAGGGAGGGTCCAGCAGGGTTCCAGCAAGGTTCCAGCTGTGTTCCGGTTTTCTGGAGCATGCATTTTGCTGACACCACTCCCCGCCCCAGAGATTGAAACTCAACGGAATCGCTGTTGGGAAGCAAAAACAAAGAAAACTCTAGAACCTGAGAAGAGGGGACGAAAGCCAGGGTCAAGTTTGAACGGGGACAGGAGAGTGGAGAGCATGGGAGGGATTGTGGCGGGGGGTTGGTGGGGGCATCGGGGGAGGGGCGGAGGAGCCGGCATGGTGAGGCTGTGTTGGGTGTGGTCGTGGGGAGCCCTTGGAGAGAAGGAAGGAATGTGTAGGAAGAAGGAGCGGAGGGAAGAAGTGTGGGAAAGGTAGGGAAGGGTGAAGAGAGCGTAGGAGGAAGTGGAACGGGGGCCTCGTTTAAAGAGCTGACGGGGCGCAAAGGAGCCCGGAAGGGGAGAGGAGGTGTCGGCGGCAGGGAAGGCAAGGAAGAAGGGGAAGTGGGCGCCTGTGGAGAAAGAAACTCCGTGGTGTGTTTGAAAAATGAAGTGACCACAATTATTTGACGCTATATTGCTTGAAGTCCCTTTTCACTTGCGCACACTTACGTAGTGCTAGGCTACGCCAAATTCATTTGCACTTGAACAGGTGGTTGCTGGTATGTTAGAGATGGGTAGGGTGCGGTTGGGTGGTGCTAATAACGTCCCACTGCGTTTGCACACTGATTTGATGCTATGCTGTTTGAAGTGCGCCGCCAGCCCGAGGTTTTTTTGTAAGCTCTTGTGTGCCATTTCTTTGCCAACAAACGTCAAGAAACAGAGCTCGTAAACAATGCAGGCACCGCTATAGTTCGGATGTTGCGCCGTAAGAAACACCATTGCACGACCCTACCCCACATATGGACCAGCAAGGAATCAAAGAGGGGGTCACCCAGACAAAAGAAAAGTAGTTTGCAGAGAAGCGGAGAACTCGTAGCTTGGTGCTAAGCTACCTTTCGTGATTTCATGGAAGAAAGATCCAACACGATGCCGGCCTTGGCATCGTTGCCTGGTACATCTTGTCTCCTGGTAGCACTCGTACACTGACCTCACCTGGCAGCAGGCTAAGGGTCGGAAGGGCACCTTGCTCGTAGGCAGGCCGAGCCCATTTATGGAAGTTTGGCTGTCTGCCTTGGTAGCCATCAAGGATCTTCCGTAAATGACCATGGCGCGGCCAGATTCCAGAGGCT